TTCCTCCAAAGAGATGTTTCCTCTGTAATGAATCTCCATATCCATTTTGCAAGGAGGGTTCTGTTTTTCAGCTTCATATTAGCAATCCCTAGGCCTCCCATATGGATTTGATGTTGTATAGTGTCTCTTCTGGTGAGATGTAGTCCACTATTGTCTTTGTTACCCTTCCACAGAAATCTTGTGTAGATGTTGTCCAAAGTATGTGCTACTTTTGATGGCAAAGGGAAGAGGGAAAGATAGTAAGTAGGGAGGTTCGATAAAGTGGCTTGGATGAGAGTATGTCTACCGCCTTTGGAGAGATAGGAGGATTTCCATGATAGGAGACGTTTTTGAATTTTCTCAATCATTGGGTCCCAAAAAGAGAGTGACCGGTGCTTACCATGAAGGGGTAGTCCAAGGTATGTGGTCGGCCAAGTCCCCAAGTTACAAGCAAATTTGGATTGAAGAGCTGTCAGTTCATCCTCTCCAAGATTTATCCCAAAAATTTCTGACTTTTGGTGATTTATGTTTACCCCCGATGCCTCCTCAAAAAGCAAAATGATGTTTAACATGTTTGTGAGGGAGAGGTTATCATAAGGGGAGAAAAGGATGGTGTCATCAGCAAATTGTAGATGATGAATGGCCAATGAGTTGTTTCCCACGTCAAAACCTTAAGTTGATGTTTGCTGCATGTGTCATAAGTCTACTATAGACATCATTAATCATAATAAATAAAAAGGGAGAGAGGGGGTCACCTTGATGGAGGCCCCTAGAAGCAGTAAGTTTACCCCGAGGACGACCATTTATAATGATAGAAAAATTTGTTGTTGAGATACACCCCCAAATCCATTTTCTCCACGCGTGTCCGAAACCCTTGGCTGCAAGAACTTCATCAAGGAAGTCCCAATCCACTTTGTCAAAAGCCTTCTCAATATCAAGCGTGATAACCACTCATTTTCTCTTTTTTCTATCCCAATCCTCAATAATTTCGTTAGCAATTAAGGAGGCATCTAAGATTTGTCTTCCGGCCACAAATGCAGATTGCTCCTTGGTAATAGTACGTGGCAGTAAACTCTTCAACCTTTCTGAGAGAACTCTAGCTATAATCTTGTAGAGGCAAGAAATGAGGCTAATGGGCCGATAATCTCCTACCTTCCGAGCATCCACTTTCTTTGGGATGAGACAAATATAGGTTTCGTTGAGGCTAGCATTAATGATGCCGTTCTTAAAAAAATCTTGAAACACTCTCATAATGTCTGGCTTGAGAATGTTCCAAAATTGTTTAAAGAACTCGGCCGTGTAACCGTTAGGACCAGGAGACTTGTTTGATCCCAAAGGCTATTCGATATCTAAACAAAAGGCTGTTCGATATTTGGATGATTCCAGCTGAAGGTCAGCTTCTACATCTCACTATCATTATCATATCCTAGTGTGAATTTGAAGCCAAACTTCGGTAATTTAAAGAAGATAAATTTTGAGGGAAAGAAATGCCAGTTTTTCTTACAAATTTGGTCCATTAGAATTAGATATAAAAAGTTCATTTTTCTTATTTAGGTTTCTGTTGGCATTGTATTACAATTTTATCATTATCAGGAGAGGATCGTTAAAGGCATTTTCCCCCTACTTCTTTAATGTTAAGAATTACGTATAACTTTTCTGACCTGCAAATAATTATGAGATTACATGGAGAGGCAATCCCCAAACTTGGGATTAATTTCTAATTCATTCGCTGACTGTATTTCTTGATTTTGTTTTTCTTCTTTTTGGTAGGTTAAGAAGCGCCACACACCACTTTTGAAGGTTTGAGTTTCCAGTATTTTAACTTTCCTATGATTGAAATGATAATGAGATGTACATTTCCATTTCATTGAGCATGTACATTGTCTATAGTTCTGTGAATGCAAGCTTCGACTATGTTCAATGTCCTAAATGTTCCCTTGTGATAAATTTTATTCCTTTGATTTAATGCAACTTCTTTCATTATATTTTGGAGTTCTGCTGACATTTTATTTTCAATTTTAGTTGTTTCCTCCAATTTTTGTGGCCTTCCTGACATTTCTTATGGGATTTGTCTCCCTTTGCAATTTGTCTTCTTGTTGCTAGTTTAAGGGCTCAGCTTCAATTTCATTTTGATACCAATTAATTTTTTCCCAATTGACATTATTGAAGTTTGGGCTGTGACTATTGGAGTATTTGGATGTTGTAACAGCTAAGAGTTCCTTTAGATAAATTAGGAAGGAGGATGATTAAGATCTGACAAATTGGTTCTAAAATCAATCATGTTAGCATTCAATTGATGAAGGAATTTTAGTTCTGCTTGTTTTCTTACATATATTAAGTAAATGTTGGCTATTTAGTTCACTTGTGAGACGGAAAACAGGTAGGTTCTAACTTCCTGTTTTGACTGCAGGTGAAGGCATACGCTGACAATTTCAAATGGAAGGGCCCTCCTGAAGCCAAGGAGGCTTAAACCTTGTTCAACACTTTTTTTCTCTTATAATTCAAGGCAGAAACAGACTGGAGGGTTTGTGTAGTCCATTTCGCTGCTTATTTTTTAGGAAGTTTGTTGTAATAAGTGGGAATCATGGTGACTTGGCCTTGTGACTTTGGTTATGCATTTATGTTGCCATTACAGAGCATCGATTTTCGATTCGAAGCACCCATCTCGATTAACAAACGTGCATAGGAATTGATAAGTTGACTATTTTGTGCATTAAAGGAGAAACTCTAGTACTACAGTAGCGTGAATTTTATTTATAGCAGTCCATAAAGTTGGACAAAATATTAAGGAGAGTACAACGGTAACACGGGAGTATTGAAGAGTTTCTACTTTGAATCAGTCCTGACCTTCAGTGATAATAGTTTGTTAGCTCAGAATTTTTAGTTATTTCAAATTTGTACGGATTTCAAATTAATTTTATTTGTAATCATATGATAGATTTCAAGTGCATACAGAAAATTTCTTACCAAAATGATCGAATTTGGTAGGATACGGTCGAATTTTTAAGTAAATTATTTTTTATTTATTTAATCTTGTCATATTTTAATTTTTAATTAATAAATTTTGATTAAAAGGTTAAATTAGTAAGCTTTTTATTTCTTCTCTTTTCGGTAGAAAGTCTAAACAAAAGAAATATAATTAAAATTATTTCTTGAACTATTTTGATATCAAACGGAGAGTACAAAGTTAATTTATTTCTTGAAATTTTTTTTATTTCAAATAGAGAATATTTCAATCGGATAGTTAGAAACCTCAATGCATGCATTGAAGATGATGTTAGAACTTAGGTTCCGTTTATTTGTACGTTTGATTATATTTATCAAAATAAATGAATGAGAATTAAAACGTGGGACCACTCCTAATTTTGGAATCACCAAAATGGATGTGCAATCTCATTCCAATTCCTTAATCCGTGGAATCCACAATACATTTTTTTTTGATAATTTGACAACAATGTTCTTTTTCTCTCATGTAGACTCACAATTTTTTGCTTTCTTTTAGGGTTCTTTTTTCAACTGCTCCATTGCCGCTTTTCCTCTTCTCATTTGCTTGATTGTCACATTCTCCTTAAAGATCCGTTTGTTAATCTTCTACTGTCAAATTTCATCTGTCTTTTTGGAGTTTGACTATTTCATCAAAATATTAGATTATATTTTGTTTGGCTCATTTAGTTGTTTCAAGAGAGCCTTTAGGTGTTTAGGTGTATGGATAATTATAGCTCTTTTGTGTCTTTAAATACTTGGTGATCTAACCATTTAAGTTATATTTTGTAATGACTTGTTATTTTGAACTATTATGAGATAGTTTGATTACTTTGAAGTTTGAATTAATTGGTGGAAATGATTTCTATAATATTTGCATGACTCGTCTTATTTATATATACATGAATAAATATTTTTATGATTCATCATATATATGTTCTGATTCATGCAACACTATAACTATTTTTTAAATCGATAATGATTTAATTTTATATTAAAAAATTATTTAATTTTAGATTGAATTGGTAAAAGAAAGTTTATTATAATAAATAGTGTAATAATAATATCAAATAAAGTGTAAAAAAAATTTAGCCTTAAATTCAAAATATATAATTTATTACTATTAAGTAAAATAATATAAGTAGATCTAAAAATTATTATAAATAATAATTTTTTTTTCAATATAAAAAATCTCATAACATTTTAATTAATGTAATTTTATATTAGTTATAAATATATAAGGGTGTTTTGGTAATTAGCAACGATTCCAAATGGAAGTAAACACCATGAATTGATTTCTTATTCCAATTCCAGATATGTTCAAATAAACAACATCAATGAAATAATATTTTCATTCCAATTGATTTCATTACGATTGATTTTCATTACGATTGCGAGTAATTAACATATTTTCATATCAATTCTATTCAACGTGTTTACTATATATACTTCATGTGGTTGGAAAATTATGAATACAAGTACAAATTACCCCACACAATCCATTGCAATGATATAGAGAATCGAATTTTTATTGGTGAGACTTGTAGACAACCTTCTTTTTAGTACAATGTTTACAAGTCTTGGTATACAAATACGTCGATGGTAGGACGACAAACATCGATACAGTATAAAACAATTTAGTACCATGAGAACCAGGTAGCCAAGAGGGAAAACTTGCTTTCTTATGATCAGGTGATAGAACATGTGTGCTGACCAGTATACAGAATGCTTCTTCTACCACGCAGCCCTACTTAAAATAACTACATTCGTGGATGAGACGACTTTGATGCTTTTGCATGATCAAGCATCAAACAAACGTCCTATCAACGGTACCGATCCTGTTCCTATCTGGCAACAGCTTCTTCATGTAGTACTTCGATTTCCGGGATAGATTTATCTTTCTTCTCCTCTTTTCGGGTATCGATTCAAATGAACATTCTGAGAAACCACGCCTCACAAACCTGTTAAAACAAGAAGTAGGGCATCATTTCCTTCCATTTCCAATCAACTAAACTATAAAAGCTATAAGATAACCATGAAGATGAACATGACATTTACCAATCTTCTCACACTGCCATGTAAGATGGATACAAAATTTTGATCTCAAGAACTAGTTATAACCTTTATTGGACCAATCGGTAATGGAAAATAATTACTAGACCAAAATCATATTGGAGATTGTGTATGTAAAAGGGATGAGTAATGGTAAAGCAACCAGCAACATACTCCAAATTTTGTTATGGAGCCCATCAATGTAAAAAAATGTTAATAAGTCACTAAAGAAGAGATGCAATAAAATTTGGTAAATAGGATACGAACCAGTCTGCAGTTCGAGTTGTCAGAAGAAAGAGCCTATCCAGTCCTAGGGAAGAGGCCTTCTTTTCAATGTAATCTGCAGTTCAGTAAGCAAAATTATCCATCAGTAAATGGAAACAGCAAGCACACAGATCACCCGAACTAGTAGTTAGAATCCCATGATCCTTTAACCGTATAATCTTCGGGTCGATTTACAGAACATTCACAGTAATTGTTTTATCTCACTCGGAGATTGGACATGATTATCTGTTAGCTTTGGTCTATACAGTTAGTGTGTTCACTTGCCACATTACAAAATTCAGCACTTAAAAGATGAGATGTAAACATTCATATTAAATGGTTCAAATGGTAATCCAACTACTTTTATATCAGAAAACAATTTTTCTTGTAGACTATGCTGCTTCACAATAATCAGAGAATTCAAAGAACTTATGTTAACACTCATTTCAACTACCAAAAAAGAACAGAACAAGGAATTATATGGGTTTCAGAAAAAAATGTTCCAATTATTGATTGTTTAAAAAAATTCACAGTGCAAAACTGACCACAGCGCAATGTCTAGGGACCCTATTAAGATGCCACCTAAGAGCTAACCGATCATTGTACCGTACCATGACCGAATAAAGTATAATACAATTAAGCAGACAAGCACTCCATGTCACCATATACAGAAATTGTAAGACGTGACCTAATGAGTTGAACTGGAATCGCTACTTTCATTTAGTATGTGATAAAGCAATTCAAATACTTACCAAGCAATTTATCGCCTTGTCCTTGTCCTCGGCACTCTGCAGAAACTGCAATGGCAGCAACCTCTCCACACTTCTCTTCAAAGTAAGGGAAGAGTGCAGCACATGCAATGATTTGACCTTCTCTTTCGACGACAACAAATGAGTCCAATGTTTCAAGTAGCTGCAACGAAAAATGAGTCAAATTTTCATTTAATCCACATAGGAAAATATCAAGCAATACCCACAGACTAAATAACTTATGGGGCAGTGGTTAAAGAATATGAAAAATATGGAAGCTGGGTGTATGTACCTCTTCGTCCGTTCTCCGCACCAGGGTACCAGACATTTCTAAAGGTTGTATAATTTGTCTAATTCCATGAAGATCGGTTACTCTGGCCATTCGGGTTCCCTCGTAAAGATCACTTGAAACAAAAAGTTCATGGAACACATTAGTTAATAGATCCAAAGTAGCTTATTTTGGTTTTACTTTTAATCTTCTCAAATGTGTTTTTAAAAAGTTGAAAAAGATACCCAACAAATTTTGAAGAAGCCAGCATAATTTTTTAAAACAAAATCATTATCAATCAAAGCCTTAATAATTTTTATTTCCAATTATAGTTGGAGCTTGGTAACTCTAATTACAAAAGAGACTTACCTTGCTACCATAGTACCCATTCCATCTCTTTTAAACAATTCCAGCAATAAAACTCCTCCAATAGTGCCATCTAACAAATGTACTCTTTCAACACCACCCTAACATATGAAAACAAATTGAATTAACCAATTCAAGGCAATCGCCAACAAGAATTGTAAATATTCATTCCTCAAATATTTGGATGGTTGATATAATTTTCCAAGAACTGAGCATTTATTGAGCCACATACAATGAACAAAGATTGAGTGTAGACGAAGGAAATATCAGATGATTTCAAATGATAGCCCAGAAGTGGCTCACGTGATTATGACTTAAAGCATAACGATTTCAATTTGAAATAGTTAAAAGGAGTAAGCATGTCCTCATTAGTTGAAACACTCTTCTTTATATTTTCAGTACACTGCTTGCTCCAAAAAAATAACTGACAGAAACTCGGCTGGCAAATTTAAGGCTGAATAGAGGTACCAGAGTTTTAGGAGAACATAGTTCCTTATTTGAAAAGATTTGAAAGAAACCCAGCCTCGGAGTTTTTTTGTTAACAAATGATTAGTGTTCTTTCTTGTTCCTGAAATGTGCCTGTGTGAGAGAAAGATGGCGAAAGTATATCTGAAGTACAAATTTAAGACAGTTAGAAAATTGGAATAGAGACACTATGTAGGAACATATTCAGATTGGGTACTGGAGGTTTACCCGGCAAACAAAAGCTGCAGCAGCTAACTCCGAGAGGTAACCATTCAAGTGGCTATTCCGCTCACCTCCAATGGCAAAACCCTGTTCAGTCGACCAAAGCCCGTTCCCATTACCAAACCCAACTCCATTCTGGAATGTCGGAGTATGGTGGGAGTTAAAACGAACTCCATTCTCGAATGTTGGAGTATGATGCGAACCAAAACCAACTCCATTCTGGAATGTTTGAGTAGGATTGTCCAAAGCAGCCTTTCCATTCAGTGGATGGATACTCCTACTCGAATCATTATTGATATAATGATTCGAATGAGCGAAATCTTCCTTACCAACAACTTTCACATAGTTTGCAGCTATCTCACATTGCTTAGCCCTTTCACGAATTAACATGTCTGCTTCTTGAAGAGTCAGAAAGCTAATATGCCGTCCAGCTTCATCCAGAATAGGACCATCAATAATGCATATAAGCTTATCGGCTCCAATAGCCAACGCGCATGCTGTTGCAACCTCATATGTACTGAAATCCAAAAAAACCATATCATTAGCAACCAGGCTCTTCCTCTTTACGATTTCAATCTAAATTTTCACCCTTTTAATTTAACCTCTACATTTATAGGAATTTAAGTATGTATCAGGGCCATCCACTTTCTGTAAATCACTTCACAAACGTGAAAGAGAAACGACTTCACAAGCTGATAAATAATGGAACGTGTGTGATAGACTGAGTGATCGAACGGCCGTAAAACAAACCACAATTATAAAGGAATCAACTAATAACAAGCTTTGACAACAGATAACTACAAGCATCATTGCATACTTGCAATTCAGAACTTCGCCAGAACTAGAATAACCCAGGTTGCTCAATATAACTATACAACCACCATCAAGCCTCTCACGCATGCGAGCTACGTCTACTTTCTTAACTTCACCCGTTGCCCCATAATCCACACCATCAACAACTCCCCTTCTCTGCAAAAGGAGATTAACGACTCATTCTACAAATTTACAACTAAAATAATATCCCAAATTCACCACAAAAATATCAGATTCATCTCAAATACCACATTTAGTAGACCAAAAAGGTTTCTTCTACCTTGGCAGCAAGGAAGTTGCCACTAACAACGCTTACACCGACTTCATGCCACCGTCTACTATCACCATGTCTACGAATGTTGCAGATAGAAGGTCCAGGGGAAAGCTTTGCCTCTATCATCACACGTATGCCTCCAGCTGCTTCCATTGCAGCTGCTAGAGATTCATTGTCCGTAATCCTATATTGACCAACAAACTTCGGCTTGCTTCCTGTAACAGGAACAGACAATTAAAGAAACATATTTAAGGTCAACATTGAGAGGAAAAAAAAGACTAAAAAAAGAACAAATTCTTGCTTCACTGTACTAAAGTAACAATAATAAAAAAAGTGATCCAAGTCCTTGCGTCAGCGAATATTGCATGTAATATACAAAAAGAACGAGTTATGAACCTCTCTCTGCCAAGAGTTTGTCAATTAACACGTGGGTCCCTGGAACAAGAACGAATCTGATTCCAAGGTGATGAAGAAAAGCAATATCCTGCACATAAATACAGTTTCAACATGTTAATTCAATCCAGAACTGAAACTAACGAAACAAGCAAGAACACAACGGATTTAAGCAATTCAGAACACGAGAAACAGACACATTACAGAGATTGATGATAAGTCCTGCCTTTAGAATAAGATCTAAGTAAGAACTTGACACAATCTCCCCAGAAATCATCACAACGAAAGTGCCTCCTCTATGGGCCCATAAGTAAGGCCACGCCTCCCTAAACCACCGCACAAATAGCTTATCCTCAACGGAATTGTAATCCTCTTCCTCTTCCCCAACCACGCTATGTGAGTCATTGAATAGACTTCGTCCTCTTGATTTTTCCCTAACGCTCTTCTTCAGTCCGTTGTCCCACAATACTACCCTATTGAAGTTAAACCTCGCCGCCCCATTTCTGAAACAACAGTTAGAAGGGAAAGTTCTCGCCGAAAATTCTCGGCGAGTTTGCAAACAAACCCGAGAGCTCGAGAGAGCGGTGGCCATGGCAGAGAGAGTGACAAAACACGTTTTGGCCTGTGAGTTTATGATTTAAGCCGCCGGGGTTTAACTGTCCACGGTGGTGGGGACCAAGGCAAGTTCCGGCCGCCGACCGCCCAGAAAAAATATCGTAAGGTTATGGACATTTGGGCCACGATGAAAATGGGCCAAGCCCAATCCTTTTCTGGGCCTTTTGGGCTAGTAGTCACTGCGACACGACCAGATTGTTTAGAGCATCGAAAAGATTAGAGAAGAAAAAAGGACAAAAGATTTTGAAGAAAACAACGTGCAGTTGAAGACAGAAAACGCGACCAAAAGAAAATGTTCAGAAAGCAGAGTTTTACACTTGGCCCTTTGTGTCCCCCTGTTTTCTATTATTATTACAAAGCCCCTCAAAGCGACGAAGAGACACGCAAGATAGAGAGTCTCAGTCCTCAATCATATCCATGCGTTTCGTTCTCAACTTGTGAACCCACTCCTGATTTGCCCCGCACAGCGCTTCCACCTCACAAAAACTCCCTTTTTTTTTAATTTTAATTTTATAAGAAAAAGATAAAAACTTGCAGTGGGTTTGGTCCAAAGTTTAGAACTTTTAAATAATCGTGTGACGTCCAACACTATATTTGAGTTAAATTAAATAATTGACGAAGACCTTCGAAGTTAACTAAACGAAAAAAGGATTCCTCGTGATGATCTAATCGAGGGGGCCCTCTCGATAATTCCTCTCTCACTGTGCTGCATCTTAATTCTGTAAGTTCCCTCTTAACTACAAACAACTACATGTTTGTACAGATTTAGTAGAAATATCTGTTATCATTTTGAACTCAAAGATTAAAGAAAACAAAAAACAAAAAAAACCCATGTTTATGAGAGAGAGACCTTGAGCAGGGCATGGAGGCGAGGGCTTGCCACTATTTCTGCAGATATAACGACGACAAAAGTGCGGCCTCTATGGGAGAAAACATAGGGATAAGCATCTCTGAATTCCTCAATAAATCTGCTGTCTTCTTCAGAAACTTTATGTGCATCATTATTATTGCCATTGGCACCAATTTTCTGGGCCTGATCGGTCGTTTTGACCTCCTCCCACTTGCATCCTTTCACAGCCGCCAATCCCAAATACCCCTTTTTAATTCTCCCACTGTCATGCCCCAACGGAGCCCCAATCCTCCGCCGGAAATTCTCTCTGCACCCATAGTTATTGAAGCTCCCACCCACGCCCACACCCACCAGATTCCACTGCCAAGAACTCGAAGTCAAAGTAGCCATGCCCGCCGCCTCTCCTTTTAAAACACACAATAATTTAAAATTTCAGAGAGCTGTCGGAAGTTAGTGGAAAATTGGGAGAGAGAGAGCAGGGGAAGAAGAAAGGCAGACGCGGCGAAACGGTGGGGGCAAGAATGGAATCAACCGACAACAGAACAAAATTTTTGTGGGAAATTGTGTCGTGGTGATAAATATTAGAAGAAAGGATGGGAGCGGTTGGTGAGGTTCCTTCTTTGTTTAATATCGCAACTTAACGGAGTGATGAGCTCTGCATCCATAGACGTAAATTATATAATATAAAAGCCAGTCCATATCAATTATTTGAGAGAGAGACAAGAACACCAACACCAAGTGATGAATATTTATATGATATTATTCGAATTTTAACACCAATATGCTTATTCGATCGCTTTAATTAGTTTAACGTAAAAGTTCCGGTTTCTTAATTGAGCTTTTTCAATTTAGAAATCAAAAAGAAATGAGGAGGGCCGGGGTTTCCGTTGCACGTGACTGGCAACCCGGGAATATTCACTTTGTAGAGGAGGAATTTCATTTGGTTGTGGGCAATTTAGTAATTTCGTTATATATTTTTTTCTTTTTCTTTTTTTTTAATGATAATTGGGGAGGGTTGGCCTGGGTTATTTATGGTAATGGGGATGTGAAGTGGAATAATTATGAAATGATGAGATGGGGAGAGGAAGAAGAAAAATGGATGGATGTAGGAAGCGGGAGCATAAATACCGATAATAATAATTGAACGGAATATGGAGATTTTATTTAAGGGGAATGCACATAATTTTATTTTGCAAAAAATTCCGGAAGGAAAATCTTGAACTTTTTTTTTCTTTCTCTTTTTGGGGGGAGAACAAAAAGTCTTAAAACTTTTGGATGGGTCCTCTTTCATGCATGGGTGGCGCGTGTTTGTTATTCCCAATTATCTCTCGGTCAAAACTAAGAGCATCATTCGAGGAAAGCCCAATGGGCCGTTTGAGACGACGCCGTAGAGAGCAAGGTTGAAGCCCACTATCATTTTAATTGAATATTGGGCTTATAAACTTCACCAGATCGTAGTACGATGCATTTGGCATGGGCCCAAACCTTGACCGTAACCGTTGGAAAATATAAAACAGGAAATTAACAAAAATAATGGCTAAATCAGATGGGTAAAATTAGATAGAGAAAAAAAAAACGTCTAAACGTTTCAAACTCTTATGTTTTTATTTTATTTCTGATATGATACTCAAAAGACTACATATACACAATAAAATATAAGTGAAGTATATACACAATAAAAAAAATATCAAATGTTAAATGTATCTACTCTACTCTTTCCCTTAAATAGGAAATTCAAATTCCCACACTCTCAAATTTGTTGCTGTAATTGGTATATTTGACTATCCTATTGGTATATTCGACTATTCTAGCTTCAGAATGTCTTGATGTTTTATCTCAATTCTCATGTTGTTGAGTCTAAAAAAACAGACACACACAATTGATGTGCCCATAGTTTGTTTATACGTCAATTTCATTATTAATAAAGTGCAAGAGTTTAAATTACTCTCCAGATCTAATAACTACGATTGATCCATTTTAGTTCATTTTAATTTAACAACTTAATTAGATTAAAACTCAACAACTTTTTGAATCTTCACATATAATTAAATGCTATATTCTTCAGAAAAAAACATATACATCGTTTTCTTATATCTGATTTAGGATAATTTATTAATTTTAGTTAAATAATTGCTTTTGTCACTGTGGAACCCGTGGACTATACCATACCCTCCACGAAGCAAAAAAGTAAAATCAATAATTAAAAAAAAAAAAAAAAAAAGTGAGGCCAAAGAGAACATGAGATGGCAAATTGTGTCAAATGAAGACAAAAGTTAAAGACACCCCCAATGATGTAGATATATGTAGACTCCCTTTTCTTTCTTCTTGGACAGCAAAAAGCGAATTCGTCATTTTCCCACAAAAAGATGAACATGAAACTAGAAGCTACCCCAAACCACACCCAGCTTCCAACAATTATATAATATTGCTCAACTTTAAAATAATGTAATATGATACAACCAAAACAAAAACAACAAAAACAACGTCATATGTCCCATACACGTTAAACCAGAAAAAAGGCTTTTTTTTTAGTGGAGCAACCAATATCACTTGGGTGCTCTTCCATTCTCAACCACAATGTCATTTTTCTATCTTTCACGTTATATTTATCTGCACCTCCTTTTTCCCTTCTGAAGCCTATCTAAAAGGATTATTTTTTAACAGACAAAAAAAGATACTTATATATGAAGAGTTTGAGAGTTAAAACTCCAAATTAAGCCAAATCCACATAATGAGGTATCTCATATAGAGGCACGAAGGAGACACATTATTTTTGTCACATACTAAAATTTGAGATTTCAGACTAAAATTAGACAACATAATTTAGTATAAAACTAAGCCTCCTACTAATAGATCAAAGCAAATGAGTCTAGTTTAACAATTGAGGTGAGAAATAATTAGAATCTTTGGACATGATTTTAGTGAATCCAAAATAGATATGTGTTTTCCTCTTCTTTTGGCATACCAACATGTAGGAATGATTGTATCAATTATTACAATCATATAAGATCCGGCTCTTAGAAGTGCGCACCAAATGCAATTTTTTCAAAATAAATAATAAAAAATGGATATGAATATATAGTTTGAAAGTATAATAATTAGTGTAATTCTCTCCATCGATATTTTGCTCACATGTTGAATTCTTATAAACGGAGGTTATAAAAATTAAAGGAAAAAAAAAACCCAAAATTTCTTCCCTACACAAATCAAACGCGTCACTTATATTTTAGGAGTTATTTTTGCATAGTAAGAATGGTTCTTTGTATAGAAAAACACATTCACAAGCCAACCTCTAACAACTCAACATTCTTGATCTTTAATTATCATCCAACATTTTGTGGGGAAAAAAAATTCCTAACTGAAATTTACCCAAAAATGACGCGAGAAATTGAGTTGACAACCACCCTTTTTACTATGGAAGGTATAATTGACATATCGAAAAATGCTTTTCAACGATTGGAATTTGGATGATATATCATTAATATAGCAAATATCTATATATCAATTCTTGGTAATAAAATTTCTTTGATATTGACACGCTTCGGAATTTTATAACCACTATCAAACATGGCATATGATTTGCTTTAAAAGTAAACAAAAGACCCATTAATTAAAAAAGAAAAAAAGGAAGTTAATTAGTGCAAAATTCTATGCTAATTGATAATAATTTAAGACGTCTTAATAAGAGAGGGCAAAAATATGGAACGTATAAAAAGGTTAAGATCAGAAAGAGAGAGAAATGGGTCGACGCTAACTTTTTCTGGTAATTATTCATTGAAGACGATGAAAGCGAGAAAGGGAAAATTTGCAGGTGAAGATCACATTCATGGCAGTGTCTGTTTTTGTTCATATTTTGCCTTTTAATTTTTTTTCTTTTTTTTTCTTTTCCTTCAATTAATTCCAACTTCTGCAATACTTTGTAAGGCTGGCCTCCACTGACCCCCACCACCGTAATGCCTCCCCATTCCTCTGTGACCTCCGCCTCTTACGCCACCGCTGCTGCCGGCGTCGCTGCTTTCCGGTCTACGGCCCGCCTCCTGCTCCGGCTGACCATAATCAAATAATTTATTAGCAATTTGACCGGAGTGACGAAAAAGTGGGAACCTTTCACGTTTAAATGAAGATATGTTTTGGACTTTGTAGAGGGGAAAAGAAAGAGACCAAATATCTTCAACTTTTATGATTATAATCAAAGGAAAGGCCATGTTATTGTTATTGTTATTTTTTTTTTTTTAACACTCATCAACAAAAGCGGAAAAAAGTAAGTGTTCTTTTAAAAAGAGCCCCACCATTGATTTTTTTTTTTTTTAATTAAGCCTGTGGATTTAAATGGTTAAATTGTTGTTGAAGTTAGTGGAAAATGGAACTTGAAATCAAAATGAGTACGTTTTCCAAAATACAGGCAAAACCCCACTATGATTTGGTTCTTGAATAATAATCAATTCAACTTTTAAGTAAAGCAAACTGTATTTTCCGTTCCTAAATCCCTAAGCCACCACATGCACAGTCACAGCATGCTTGCAAAAGCTAATTAAATTTAAAACGCTCTTCTTTTTAAAAAATTAATGTGGCTGAATTTCTTTCTTTCTTTTTTTTTAAGAGAAATAAATAACTGGGTTGAGTCTGGAAATATATATTTGACTTGCTGAGATAAAATTGAATATCTTAGCTCTGCACTCTACAGCTCTACTTAAATTCCTGACAGGATTCATCAAGTGACCCATTAAAAGGCTTCCCTCGATATCCGCGGCCTTAAATTTCAAACCAAGTTCAGATGCTTCCTTATTCAGAGAAAACAACCTTTTTGCTTTGTTTCTTTCAAATTTTGGCTTTTAATCACAGCGCAATCATGAAAATAAATAAAAAATATATATATATATATATATATATTTTTTTTTTCCATCGAATTTCTCTATAGTCTTTTCGTATTAGACCTCAGTTAATTCCAAATAAAAAAAATAACAAACAAATAAATAAAAAGATCCAGTTTTTTCTTTTTATTATTACCTTCGTGCAATCTTCGGATGAATTGGGATTGGGAGCAGAATCCGAGTCCTTGACCTTCATCCCAACGGAAAGCGCTCCTCCCTCTTTCAGCAACTTCCCCAGCTTCACGCATTTCTTGGCAGCAAACTCCTTCAATACGTCTAAATTAAACAAAAACAAAAACAAAAAAAATCCCGATTATTAAAGCAGAAAATAAAGTAAAATAGAGAATATATGTTTTGATAAATTTGAAGATGATGAGGCACCTTCGAAGGTGATGAGACGGTAGAGATGGCCGATGAGAAGGGTGTCGTCGGGGCGGAGGAGCTTGAGGTGCTTCAATGGGGCGCCAGTGTCGGACTTCAAAGTAGAGGAGGTGACGACGAGGGCGACGTAGTGGCCGGGGTTGGCGTTCATGATCTCGTGGGCGCTGACGGACCAATAAATCCTCTGGATCTTGTTGTTTCCGGGATGGTGAATGAGCACCGTGGCCGCCTCCGCCGCCTGACAGTTCCCCATGATATGATAATCCTTTGGGCGCGTTTTGGTCAAATTATATGGATGGAGGAGGGTGAAGAGGCCAGCTGAGATGGGGTTTTGAGTAAATGATTCTGACGGTTTCCTTGATTGCGCTCTCGACGACGCACGTCAAGAATCTCCCAGTCTGATCAGCGAAGGACGTGACGTTTTTCCAGATCACCCAAAACGATGAAAGCAGCAGCAGCAAGAGAGAGAGAACGAGTAGAATAATGGAATGAAGTTGGTGAGTTGGTAATGGGTACTTATAAAAGAGAAGGGGGACGAAGAAGAAGCAGAAGAAGAAGAAGGAAACGTAATATTGGGGTACGATGGAACTGAAACCTCTATCTGCTCGAAACGTGTAAGATCTGCAAACAGCAATTGGGTGGGCCTCAGCGTCTGTACACAAAGGAAGGGGATGGGCCCCACCTCCTTCCGTGGACGAATTGAATCGAGTATCAGAGGACCGGGTTGGGCCGGGGGCAGGATGGGGATGCTGACGTGGACACTTAATTTTGGGATGTGACTCAAAGTTGACGGGAGATTCCAACCTATTCTGCCTACGCAAAATCTTATGCCTACCTGTCCCTGACCCTCTCCCTTATTTAAACACTTTTTACCTTTGTCAAAATAATTTAACCTAGCCATTCAATTCTGATTTATGGGTTTAAAATTCCGTTTTAATCCCTACCCTTTTCTACTTTTCAAATTTTAGATTTCTTTTGGACTATTTTATTCCTTAAACTTTGAAGATATATATCTATATTGAGGGTAAAATTCAAACGGGTCACGTGTCAGATTTGAAGAGTGATAGTTAGTGGTGGGAACTGCAGACAACATGGAGCGTACGATTAAGTGAGTATGAGGTCTGAGTGTCTACTACATGGTACGAAAAGTGTGCCACCTGCAATCGTCAGTCTCCAAAAAGGACAAACTAGCAGGCGACAGTATGACCCTCGTGCTTCAAGAATGTCCTCGCATGTGAAATATTTGTCACTACTTCCTTAAGGTGGTCACTGTTATATTTCTCTCACGTTAACTAACTTGATCGTCAGAGACTATTGGGCGAGACATCGCACCAGTATCAATGATTGCTGTGGTAAGTTCATTTCTCTGATGAAAACTTAATCTGAAAAGACACGTGAACCTCTGTGAAACTCGCCATAACTATTTTGGTCATTGTAGCATGTGTTGTCATCGATGAGTAGGATATTAAATAGCAAGATTGGTTTTTTTAGATTCAAAAATTAAAATTAACAATATGAAACAAAATATTTATTTTTCAAAAATTTAAAGAACTAACACAGATATTTAAAAAATTAAGTACCAAAATAGTATTTAAACTTAAACTATTCCTCCATATAGTTCTAATGTTATCTAAGTGTGCACGTCTTTTTGTATATATTATCGGTTCTAATTTTTAATCATATTATTAATATAAAAGTTATTTGAGATTCATTAAAACCCGGGTTAAATATAAATCAAAATAGTATAGTGATAAAATAAAAAGATAATTTAAGGATATTAAATAGTATCATGTTATTGGTAAGGTGGATCTATAAGTAACAATTGTTGATGTGTCCTGGTATGGAGAAAAAGGTTTTCAATAGTTCTATTTTCATGTTTGCTTGGCAAAATTGCAAACTTATTAAAAGGAGAGAGAGAAAGATGAATTTTGACGAAAGGAGCTGAATCAAAGTTGACATTAAATAGATGGGATCCATTTTTCATAATTTCTCCCTTTGCAATTAATACAATCATAGGTATTATTGACTTTTCACCCATTGTAATCATATGGCAAATAAGATTTCGGATGGGCATGGTATGGCGCTCACTTTTGGGTTATAAATGTCAATATAAACTATGTTATATAAGAACTACGTACTGTTTTGTAACTATATGAAATTACAGCTAATTAACAGTTGGATAAAAATATATATTTGTCCCCAAAAAAACAGTTGGATAAATAAATAAATATATATATATATATATTTAAAAAAAAAACTTGAGGAACTGGTATATTACAATTCAGATTATGTTTATTACTTTCAATTCATTGAACCAAATTGATTTAGAGAATGTTTAATGGACCTATTTTTTCAAAAATAATTTTAGATGATGTGATTTAAATAGTAAAATATTTTTCATATTTAAAATTTGAAATTGAAAATAATATTTAAAATGTATAAAAATTTTGATGAGTATATTATTTCCGTCAACAAACTCAATTTGTTTTTGTTAAAATAAACAAATATAATTTATTATAAATTATATAATATTATAAAATAATAACGGCTTTAGTTTATTTTGGTCTGTGTACTTTTAAAATGTCCATTTTAGTTTTTATATTTTCGACTTTTGTTAAATTTAGTCCTTATATCTTTTTCGAAACGCTCGTTTTTTGTCTATATAATTTTAAAAAGTGTCAATTTTGATTTTTCATTTTTATTTATAACTCATTTATTTCAATCAAAATTTTACCATGCACTTCACTCACTGAAATTTTTGAAATATGGCCATAAATTTATTAAAAGTTTCTACCGTGCATACATTTTGTGTTAAAATTTTACAAATAGGGAAAAATGGTCACTTTCCAAAACTACATATACCGAAATGAACAAAGTTGAGTATAGAGACCAAAGGAGAATTTAATAAATAATAATTATAACATATATATGTGTGAATAAATTAATTAATCATGTTTTAGGTTGGACTAAATATTTAGCTATTTTTATTCTTTACAAATATGTTGCTAAACATACACTTTGAACCGTTTTAAATTGAGATTCAATTTCTAGATCCGTTGTCAAACACGTATTTAAAACACTGAAAACGTAGAATATAACTATATATGTGGAGTGTTAAGAAAACTCGATGATCTGAAAAATTCAATCAATTCAACTCAAGGCATACAGTTTGAGTGGGATTAGTTCAAAGATTCATTTGAGATAAATTTGGGTGGAACAAAATAATATTTTTGTATAACTCCTCTTTAAAAAATACGAGGAAAATTATTTTTTAGTACAACATTTGAGTAGATAATAATTTGAAGTCACGATCTAGTCGGAGATATGTAACTTAACTAATGGAGCTAAAAAAATTGGAAGGTTCGAAGTTGGGAAAAAAAGGGAAGTAAGGACACGGTGGATTTTTAACAAATGTCTTATGGAATTTTAACAAATGTCTTATGTTGGTCTTTTTTTTTCTCATTATTGCGTCTTGAAATGTTATTTTACCAAAACTGTCCAATTTCTTACCGAATTTGTATTATGAAAGTCAAACTCCAACCCGATTTGACTCCGATTTTTTTAAACGCTGAACACAAACGCGGTGCCGATTTTCCACCATGCCATCATTAATCGCTTACCCGCCACCATATTTTTCGGTCTAACCTTTTACAGTAACAGAACTAAAATTGAATTTTCTAGTACAATTCTTAAGAGCGGAGATTTGAACGATATTTAAATTGAAATATATGAATTAATTAGTTGAATTATTTAAAAATTAATAAATTATTTGATTAAAATTTTCAACTAAAAATAAATTAATTCTTTATCTATTATGTTATATACGGAGTGGTGTTTCTTTTTAATTAATTTATACTTGGCTAACAGTTTCTTTATTTTATTGTTATTATTTGGAAAAAAATTAATATTTTAATTACCGATTTTTATTTGACTCTGACGTTCACATTTGCTCTAATAATATTTAAATATATTTTTCATTATAAAGATCATATTCGGATTGGTTCCTTCCATTTAATTTCAGGTGTTTCTTTTTCTAATTTTTATTATTTTGTGAAAATTTTAATATTTTAAATATCGCGTTTTTTTTTCTTCACGCCGGTCTTCATATTCCCCCGAACGATTTTCAAATATATTTTTCGTTATATTGATTTTAAAACTCAAATACAAATTCGGGCTTTTAAATTGCAATAATTGGGCCCGAAAACCTAATGAACTTTACTTTTTGTAAGTCCCAGCGGATTTTGGACCAGGCTTTCATAAGGCCGTCGATTTTTCCAAATATAGCTCAGTTGGGCCATGAAGTTGTAACCATTTTCGCTCTCAATGTGACGTGGCACATCTACTTTTAAAAAGTTCAAGAAATAATTTTAAATATTGTGTTTTAAAATTCACAAAATAAAATTTGAAAATTTAATCTAGCTTGAAATGAAAATATTATGAAATGGGTATGATTAAAATTTTTTGTTTAAAAAGAAAATAAAAAATTACGAATATAGATTCTTAATTTAATTAAATATCAAAATTTAATAAGTAATTTATCTTAAAAATATAACCGTATTCTGTACCAAAAATATGATCTAAAATCACGTAATATTTTAAATCTTTCATTTTCAATGTGATAGCAAATGACGAAATTTATTTCAAATAAACCAAAATTTTGAATGAGCCAAACCGACCATTATTCTGAAAAAGCAACATCCACTCGTCCAGCAACTCGACAATAAAAAATTGACAAAAAACTTTCCATTCTCGATAATCCGAACAAATATTCGTCAACAGAAGGGAAAGAAAAAAATCTATCGCAATTATATATATATTACAGCCCGATCGAATATCTTGTAAGGTCGACTAATTCACCGAAGATATATGCATATTTTTGCAAAGATAAATTTTCTTAAGGAACCGCATTTTTCAAGTCAAGACATACACGTGGACTCGTGGAGGCCGCCCTTATCCATGCAAATAAAATGTTTTCAAATGGCCCACTTTTTTTTTTTTTTTTCCTATCTTGTTATTTTCGTGGCCTTTTTCTTATTCAAACAGTCTGGTTTATGTCGTTTAAAATCACTGCTCCGGATGAAAATTACTTTATGAACTTGTTTGTTTAATTTATCCAATATATCTAACTTAAATTTTTAAGTTGAGGGATAGTTTCTGCCTAACACAATTTATATTTATTTTAGAAATACCTTGTTATTTAGTTCAGTGTTAATAGTGGGTGTGAAACTGATTTAAGAGTACTTTAATACCGTTTCTTCAATTTTTTTTTATATTTAATATAACAAATATGAGATGTCAATACAACAACCAACCAACCTCAAGGGAAAAAGTAAATATCTTGACCATTAAATTATGCTTATGCTAACAATACTACTTCTTCATTCTTATACATCAAATTAGAATATCGGGTTAAAATGAAAAAGATAAGTAAAAAAACATACAATAAAATTATAATGCCAAAAACGGTTAACTGGTGTATGTACTATTAATATTCATGGAGGCTATTTCAAAATCAATTAACAATGAAAGGAGTAGTTCATGTCTATCATAGTCGTTACAAAATGTTCACATTATAAAAACCAAAATGATAAAGGATACAAGCTAAAATTAAAAAGGCTAAAATTAAAATATAAAAGAGATTAACGATTAACACAGCGTTATGATAAAGATTTAAAAATTAAAAAACTATATTACAAAAAAGTTCAATACATTTTTTTAATGATACAATAACATGGGGAGATTAAAATCTAAAAAAATTGAGTAAATAATGTCTTTTAACCATACTCTTTTCCTTAAGAAAGGTAGATAGTTGGGGAAATTTTAGTTAAGATAAATCACAAATAATACATTTTTTCCCCAATTTCACTGCCCTAAATAATGAAAATATAAAGAAACAAATAAGAGCAAAAAATGGGGAAATTTTCGAGAAAGTAAGTCATAAAAAAGTTTTTTTTGTTTATAATTTACCTAGAGTTGGTTGGCAAATTATTATTTATTTTTAGTTCTAAGGCTATAATTGAAATGATTTATGAAAAGTAAATTAATGTCATTATAGGTATTAAAATCATTATTTATAAATTAATAAATTTTGAACTAGCAACTTTATATTTCTGAAAAAAGGCAATTGCCTTATTGGCAACAATATAAGAGTATATATATAAAAGGCAATTGCCTTACTAAATCATGTTATTCTTTTTAATACGAGGTTGAAATTTGAATTTAAAGATCTTTTTTTTAGTATAACATGTTGGGATAGTTTGAGTCCTTTCCAAGGCATAATTTTGAGAATATGCGTTGGAAGGAATACGTTCGATCAAAATAAATGATTTTAGTCCTTATAAAAAGAAAATTTGACCTCTTAATTAGAGATATATGTCAATTACCTCTTGATCTTTTTGTGATAGATAAATATCATAACTAATTTAGGACATATATATATAATAGTTGTTAGGGGTGAATTAGAAACTTTGATATACAAATTTTTAGAAAACCTCAGTAAGTCAGCTTAGATCCAACAAGGTCATTGGCTCTTCGTCCAAGCACGATTTAAGAGCCAAGTTTACAAGACTGAATCCTAAACACGATCTTGCAGGTAGCTCTTGAACCAAATTTCGTTATCTGGAAATTCACGATTAATGGGACAGAGCCTTCCAACCCTTTTTTTTCTTCCTGTATTTAAAGAATTCAAAATAGGAAGATAGGTAAAGATCTTAGTTTTATCCCAAAGAAATCTTTTAGGAAAGAAAATTATGATATTGAAATAGGTATGTAAATGGCTGCTAGGCATAGGCTTAACAAGCACGGCATTTCAAATGACAAAGTTTCATATATATATATAATTTTTTTTTTTGTTTCTTTGATAAAATATATATTTTTTAATGAAGTAACAATGACAAAGTTGCATTAGGATATTATTAGCAAATATATTTTGAGTTCATTAACCAATTCAAATTAATTTCACAGCACAACTAACCAAATAAAATACTGGAGAGAAAAAATTGTCGGGTCCCGTTCAGGACTTAAATTTGCGCCAACGAATTTCCTACTCGGCATCTTCGCATCTTGCAACCGATTCCTCTCTCTCTACGTTGCGCCATTATAAATTCTCTTTCGTTAACATCTAAGCTTCCTCTCCTCGTGGGAGTCTCCAGCATCGGAATTCATCCACGCGAACCTCCCTTCTTCGTAATTTGGTGGTTAGATTTTTTTCCGTACTTTCTTGCACTTATTTTGGATTTTAACTTGATCGTTGCCTTCTTTGCTCCCATTTCTTTTTCTCCTCATTGCAGGAATCCGTCCGCTAATTTTTGCATTTTCGTCACTGCTGCTGGAGGGAACGAGGTTTGCTTCTGGACCTCCAGTATTCAGTTCGGCTTCTTCCAATTTTGGGTACTTTTTCTTTCTGTTTTTATGGGGATTTCTTCTAAGCTCGAATTCTCTGAGTTATGGACGTGTTTTGATTTCTAATTTTACCTCTGTGTTGGTTTTTGGAAAAGGGGCATTGAAAATAGTTTTGTTTTTCTTCTGTTTGATTAATACATTCTTTTAATTAATCGATTTCAAGACTTAGACAAGTAAATCTTGACGCGACATAAGAGATTTGTGCGCTTATTTGAGACGATTTGCAATTGTTTTTTATTTTATAATCTATCGGCTTGAGGAAGAACATAGGTAGGTTATAGTTCATAGCGGTGTTGTTGTTGTTTGTTTGGTTGAGCAGGGGATGGATGCGTATGATGAAACGACCGATAAATTAAAAACGTCTCCTGAAACAATGGAGCACCATAAGAAGTATTCTTCTAAGGAGGGAAAGGGAAAAAGATTGTGGAAGAAGGTCAAGTACCAGTTGGTTGAGTACCATGCGTTACCAGCCTACTTGAGGGATAACGAATTCATTCTGGGTCATTACCGAGCTGATTGGCCAATTAAGCAGACACTTCTCAGCGTCTTTTCCATACACAACGAGACTCTTAATGTTTGGACGTAAGGTTTTTTCTTTCCATGCTGCTTCTGTTTCTTGGAGATTTTTCAATAATTATTGAATTTTGGACGTTAATGAATTCGAGAAGAATATATGCTAGCACAGCGCATTCTTTGCTTTGATGTTGTGTACTTCTGATATAATACAAGCTTCAAATAAAAAACTTGAAGATTGCATTTGTTTATAAAATTAGCACTTTATTAAATTTAATTGCTTATTGGGTTGTCAAGCTTTACACTAGATGTACTAAGTAATGTGCTTCTAAGATCACTAGATTCCGTAGGCCATTGTGCATAATGTGGAAATTTTGTTTCCAGAAGGCCGTGGTGTCTACCACATGCTTGTTTGATGTCATTTTTCAAAGAGTATAGGTGTAGAGACAGGAGAAGCCTAAGTAATAATATTTAATGAGACCTCCAATCAAAACGGATCTGAAAAGGGTATAGACGAAGGTTGAATAAATCTTTAAGCTTCCATTGTAGAATCCAGGTTCATGACACTGTTAAAGAAGTTGCTTTATGCATATTGTCTTGAACGTTTTAGTTGAATTAATCTTTAAACGCAACAATCTTCTCTCTCCAAGGGCTGTTTCTCCTTTTTTTTCCCCCTCTCTTCCTTTCTTGGAAACTTAATTTACACTTTTGAGAAAATTTTCATTAATCATCAAAGAAATTTTGTGCTTAATCCTTAAGTTCAGCAGCGATTTTGTAATGAACGGTATGCAGTAGATTGATTCTTGCTTCCATGTCCATTCTCCCTGTTCATTTGAATTATGAATGTTTCAGGCATTTAATTGGATTTTTCCTCTTTCTCTCCCTGACCATATACACTGCGACAAAGGTTCCTAAGGTTGCCGACATTCATCCTCTTCAACATTTGCCTGATGTGCTGAAAAAAGCTGATTTGCACAAATTGCAAGCAGAACTCTTGGCGTGCCTTCCTTCCTTGCCTCACTTCCCCGATCTGCAGAAATTCAGGGAGGAATTGAAGACTGCATTGCCTTCAATGGATATGTTTTCGTCACTGTCTGGTTGGCATGTTGTGGAACTTTTATATAATTGCTTACCTGAGCGATTCTCCCATGGAAATCAAACTGATGACTGTGTTCTGGTAAGTTGTACGGTCAATTCTAGTCTTGAAATTCCAGGTTATTTTGTTGGATTCTATGGATTTTTATGTTTTTGTTTCTTGCTTCGTTCCTTGGGAACCATTCAGAAAAATTTGATTTTAGATTCCTCTAAAGGTCTATTCTAAAATCTCCTAAATTTTACTCTGAAACTTATTCTATAAACCTCCTAACTTCTGCTGTCCTAATCAAGATTGCGTTCGCTATTAGACCGCGGGTTTTATACCCTGACAAGAGTTCTTCCTTCATTGAAGATTTTCACTAAGCTGGTGTCCCTTACTGAGAGTTTTATCATTTATGTGACACTTGGGACCATTATTAGAAGCCTGATATTTCTGTGCATTGTTGAGTGAATTTCTTAAGTGGTTTATTGTGGCATTATAGTCTTGTCTTACTCTTACATCCCTGATCATGTATTTTCATTGGGAATAAATCCCAAGTAATGTCCTGACGATTTCTAATACTTAATGTTGCAGCTCTATATGTTAGTTTAGTGATAAATCCTAGAATTGCTTTGTATGAACTAATTATTGTCTCTGTTCTTATTTGTGATTTAATACAGAGAAATGTGAAGGAGGAAGTTGCCAACATGATAGCACCCTTAGTTATGAGACCAATCACCCGGTGGCCTTTCTTTGCATTCTTGGGTGGGGCCATGTTTTGCCTGCTTGCTAGCAGCACTTGCCACCTCCTCTCCTGCCACTCTGAGCGTCTCTCATACATAATGCTCAGGCTGGACTATGCTGGAATTGCAGCACTTATATCTACCTCCTTCTACCCCCCTGTTTACTACTCCTTCATGTGCTACCCCTTCTTTTGCAATCTCTATATGGGATTCATTACTCTCCTGGGAATTGCAACTATCTTGGTGTCCCTGCTACCAATGTTTCAATCCCCTGAATATCGCACTTTTCGCGCATCCCTCTTCCTCGGCATGGGCTTGTGTGGGATCGCCCCTATTCTGCACAAGCTTATCCTGTTCTGGGGCTCGCCCGAGGCACTCCACACAACAGGGTATGAGATACTGATGGGGATTTTGTATGGGCTTGGAGCACTGGTTTATGCAGCAAGGATCCCTGAGCGATGGATGCCTGGAAAATTTGACATTGCCGGACACAGCCACCAATTATTTCACATCTTAGTAGTCGCCGGGGCGTATACTCATTACCAAGCAGGACTGGTATACCTCAAGTGGCGCGACCTGCAAGGTTGTTAGATGAGAATATCAACAAAGATTTAGTCTGTTGGAATGTAGTTGAATATAAACGATGTGTATCTATGTAATTATGCAGGAGGACTAAAAAGGTCACTCCTAACACTGCACTGGACCAGCTTGAGATATCAAAACTCTCATGCTCCTGTGCTTATCATTTCCAAAAGTATGGTTCAATGATCGGTTTTATATTTGCAGTGCAGTACAGGTTCACCTATAAATTCGAATGAATAAAATTTTAAGTTTTTAAAGTTGTAACCATCCTGCTTTTGGCCACATTTTGTACATGGGTATCACTATTTTTTCCCGCCATTTGGTTGCATGTTAACTTCTTTCTATTCATTTCAGATGAAAATATCTCGTGTGATGTGAACTACATTAACAATCAGTATTTCAGAAGTAATTACCTTAAAATGAGTCATTAGGATTCATAATAATTTTTGAAATCGTATTCTTTTGTAATTGTTGATGAGATCAGTCGTATATATTTAATTAATCATGCTGTGCAAGGCATGTCACAGCAGCAGGGGATTTTGATGAGTGATTCTGTTACCATTTACGGCTGTGTCGAATCCATGATTTGTTTCCTTTCATCTATATTATATATTTAAACGGTAAGCATCCTCTCTGTCAGTTAACAGTCAGTCCACCATAACCAAGTACAGCCAAAAGCTTTTCAGGAATGCTATTCATTTCCCTCAATACTTTATTTGCCAACGAATCTGCAAAGCTCTACCTTCCAAATCACTATGTAAAGTAATAACAAAAATATTAGGCAACAAACTCCAACGCGGAGCCCTTGAAAATGGAATTGCCTTCTCTCACGCTTCGCAATTGTCAAATTTCTCCATGGCTAAACAAAGCAGAACCTGCTGGTTTTTGAGTAATCTTTTTCTCTTGCTCGGAGGAATATTTCTGGTTTTACTCTTCTATCCTAGCCTCTACTCTGCTTCCATATTTGAGCTCCGGAGGGGTGCATCTGTGGCCGGAGATGGATTCTCCGGCGAAATAGACCCGCCGGATCAAACCTTCTACGACGACCCGAAACTCAGTTACTCCATCGAGAGACGAATAGAAAATTGGGACCAGAAGCGGAAAACTTGGCAGGACCACCACCGACATCTCTCCGTCCGATCAGGCGAGCGTGTATTACTGGTCACCGGATCACAGCCGTCGCCGTGCAAGAACCGAATCGGCGATCACCTTCTTCTGAGACTCTTCAAGAACAAAGTCGACTACTGCCGAATCCACTGGCACGGCATTTTCTACAAAAACGCTTACTTACAGCCTAAAATGGGCTCGTATTGGGCCAAACTCCCAGTCATCCGGGCCGCAATGATGCCCATCCAGAAGCGGAATGGATCTGGTGGATGGACTCGGACGCAGTGTTCACAGACATGGAATTCAAGATCCCAGTGGAACGATACAAGAACCACAACCTGGTGGCCCACGGTTGGCCCAACATGGTTTACGAGGACAGAGATAATAAAAGCTGGACGGGCCTGAATGCGGGAGTATTGCTGATAAGAAACTGTCAATGGTCGATGGAGTTAATGGACTCATGGGTCAAAATGGGCCCCCAATCGGGAGAGTACAAAAAGTGGGGCCCAATACTGAGGTC